CAGCGGAGTGGAATCAGAGCCGAGGATACACCGTCTTTGATACCAATTGTAACCCCTGGCCACCGTGATGTCGTCGTCGACATGAGCCACAAGCAAGTACAAGAGCAGTGCGAGGAATGCCGGCGAGGAACCCCCTCTGCCTTAGGCGATTTACTTTTGTAAATGTCTGGATGAGTCAGATCCCCAGCGGGTTAGGCACTTATGTGCCGGATACAGAACATGGACTTGGGTCCACATGTCATACATAGAATTGAAAACATGAATTTAACTCTACGCTTCTTAGCTTGGCTGGCACCTTGTAACGATGCCGCTTCAATCACTCGTAGCAGACCCGGCTGTTACATATTCAAGGAGCACAAAAATCTTTTAAGTTGTATTAAGTTCATTTGCAAATTAATACACAAATTACTTGCATCCTCCTATTAATAATATCACCCAAAGCAGAACACAAGTATGGACTATCATGAAAGAAAAACTCGAAAAGGAGGCTGCAAACTATAACGCATCAATTCTCCAACAAAACGTTATGCATTCTTGACTTCTTGTGTGATCTAACCTGGCACAAAAATTGCCTCCTTGCTGGGCAGGTCTTTCCCTGGATCCCTGACAGGAGGACGAGTTGTGCCCGCCAGGAGAAGGATCCACGCAGCCGAGCCCCAACGCCATCGTCAATCATAGTGGAAGGAGGCGTTGGCGAGGGAGAGGAAGCGGCTGCAAGGTAGGGCAGGGTGTAAAAGGACAAAGTGCCCACCGAGCATATCACGTACCTTTGCACAACATCGGACGGGACATCCAATCCTTGGCCAGAGTGACTAAGATCCCGCCGCCCTTGGCCACCACGGCCACCTCGTCCAGAGCGCGCCCGGACGGAGGAGCACGGTCGCACGGAGGACGACGACCAAGCCAAGAAACATATAAGAATCCCTATCTGGGTATCTCAAATCACATTCATTCAACCATAAATGCACAAGATAGAGAGGTTGTAGTCACTGAGAGGAGAGGTATACATGAAGATCTAGCCCAAGAAACAAGAACAGAGAGAGATCGGGCTAAGAAACAAGAACAGAGAGGAGAGGAATACATGGATTGGAGGAAGGGGGTGCGACGTCCAGTGAGGCCGGCGAGTGAGGGCGAGGGCGACGTCAGAGGAAGGCTAAATCCACCGCGTGAGGAGCGAGTGCAGGTGTGACCGATCAGGCGAGGGCGAGGTAGGATTGTAGGAAAGCAAAATTCGTTGCGGTGATTGTGTTGGCTTTCCGTTTTCAGCTTCCTTGCACGTCGTGGTCGTGGGTGAGAGGCAGGCGGGGATCGCAGGGGAGGCAGACCGAAGACGACCCGATATATTGTCGTACGAAAAGTTATCCACCTTTTACTCTTTTTAGTCTAGATAGACTAGAGAGATGGGAGATGAGAGATTCAATTTGTTCTCTTCTTTTGGCATCATTTCTTTAATTTGTTTATTACCATCATTCATACACTCATGAAGTCAACTCTAGTTTTATCTTTTCAAAATTTCACCGTAAGAAGTTTGACCTAGCTTGCGTTGAGGCGGCGGCTGAGATCATACTGATAACAATTAACTACTGCACTTGTAAAAAAAAACAATTAATTACTGCTAAGCACGAACGAGCAAACACTAAGCTACCCATATAAATGACATGGCATGTAAAAATGATAATAATGCAATAACACTGACGCCGTATCTATTGGCTACCGTACCATTCAACGACAAATTAAAATGCATCGTGAAAGGTTAGTTTGGCTGCCCAATTATTTGACTCGTTCTTCTTCCTTGTTGCTTCCCCATTTCAACAAACTAGTACTATTAGCTTGCAATGCAATGAGCTGGTGGCTAGGATAGATGATCGAGCGATCGTCCCTGAGCTGTGTAATTAAGCAGCAGTAGCCGCTGCTCATCTCATCAGTCATCATGGATGTTAACCTAACAAAACCTACCACACGGCTGAGCTAGCAGATCGAGAACCAAGTGTATTATACGACTTTCTAGAAACAATATTAATTTATCATCGCTGCGCGCGCGTGTATATATATATATATATATATGCGCATGTGCAGGAAGCTAGCAACTGACGGAATATACGATTCTCCTTGTTAATTGGCCACCCATCGGATAGATAGATTACTGTAACATCGTACAGTTCTGATTTCTGAATCTGCTTAGCAGACATGATTATGTATATCCATCGCGTGCATCATTCGGTCAACCTATAGCTACTTTTTATTTTGGGTGGGACAGTGGGAGCTTGAGTGACAGACTAAGGTAGATTTCTTTAAAAAAAATACAGCTGATTTACGTACTACACCACGATCAAACAAATTTCAGTCGAACATATATATACGTAGAGATGGAACAACGTAAAAGAATATTTAATACCATACTGTGTTTCAAATTGTAATCTTTAAAGTACATCTAGCATAATATAGCTATGTATGCCTATAAAAACCGAAACGACTTATGATTTAAAATAAAGAGCTAGCTAGGCCGCACGGAGCTGCATATAAACATGAGTTGGAGTTTATGTTTTTTTTTTAGAAACCGGAAGAAACTTTCCGCTTCTGTGTCTCCGCACACAATGACAAGTAAGGAAAAAAAACGCAAAAATTATGCATGACATAGTCTATTACATGAGTTAGAGTTTATGTATAGAGGGTAACTAATGTGGCTCGTTATAAAAATAATATTTCATCCATTCCAAATTATAAGATATTTTGATTTTTCTAGGTATATAGTTTTTGCTATGCACTTAGATGTACATTATGTCTAAATAAATAATAAAAACAATGTATCTAAAAAATTAAAACATTTTCTAATTTGAAACGGGAGTAGAAGGTGCCCAAGTCGTACAATCACGCAAAAAATTAATCATCAATTAAAGCGGATTCATTTATCTGCCGATCGATCGAGGAGGACAAATTCAAAACGCTGGATCCAAGAGCTAGCGCATCATCTTCGTCAGCACTCAGCAGTAGCTTCCCTGATCGCTTGGTCTTGGCATGCACAGATTAAAAAAATTGAGTTTAATTCAACACTTGTGTGATATATACATTGGACGGAAAAGTCACGCACTCACGTCGCTCTCAGTGTCAACCATGCAATTTGTTCTGTTCTGCTCCTTTTAGTTTATTGATTGACCAGATAGCAAAATATTTTGACCAGATAGCAAAAAGGTGAATAATATTTTGTCTGGTCTAGGACCAAATAAAGAGTGTAGCAAGAGACTAACTTGTCCCTCGCTAATCAGTTTTTTCATTCTAAAGTTATAAGACGATTGGACTTTTTTAAATATACATTGTTTTTCTATGTATAAACATAGCGTGTATCTAAGTATATAGCAAAAACTCTGTATTTAGAAAAGTTAAAATGTTTTATAATTCGAAATAAAGGCACTATCCAGCTATTAACTTGCTTAATTTTCTAGTAAGACACACTTCTTTTGTTCTTTTTACATATAGGCCCCGTTCGCTGGTCTAAAATTTGGCTGAAACTGGCTGAAAAACACTGTTCCGGCTGAAAAACACTGTTCTAGCTAAAAAAAGAAGTCGAACAAGCCATTGTATTAGCTTTGTTCTAAGTTAAGTATTTCTAACTTTGACCATCAATTTTCTGGAGGACTACATCAAACTAGGAAACCTTTTTGCTTTAGGGCTTGGCGAATTTTTTTGGTTTTGGCTACTGTAGCACTTTCGTTTGTATTTGGTAATTAGTGTCTAATTATGGACTAATTATGTTTGAAAGTTTCGTCTCGCGATTTCTCACTCAACTGTGTAATTAGTTTGGTTTTTCGTCTATATTTAGTACTTCATGTATGTGCCGTAAGATTCGATGTGACATTTTAGGGTGAAATTTTTTGAAATCTAAAAAGGGCCTTATTCACGAGCACCATGCGTGCATAAAAAGATGTTTGGACGCTAAACATATACCCCTTTGAGATCTAAAGAATAACGTGGCTTTATGATGATCTGACCGTCGATCCATCACCGGAGGTGAAAAGGAGAGAAAAGAAAGGGGCAAAAGTACCGATGCAAGCAGCTGGCATCTTGAAAAAGTTTTTTTTTATATTTTCCTCTTGTTGAGTTGATGACTGCATCTGGTAGACCAGTTGCGCTGCACAATGACTGCCCTACGGTTAGTACAGACATGTGTAATGGTAGAGTACGTGCTCTCGTAATCTCATTATTGCATATGAACAAATAAACAGACACAAAATTAGCGGAGCTAAGGGTGTCTCCAACAGAAAACTCATTATAAAACTCAAACCCAAAATAGATCTCCAACATAATATTTATAGCCTCCAACCAAGTACTTATACGAAAGACCCATTTTAGGTGGTAGAAGAGACATAACCTAAATCTGAGTATCCTCTCTCCTGAAAACTCATTTGTAGAAAGGATTATCTTTTGGGTCTTGTTGTTGAGAAAACCAAAAATAGGTATTGAATCATTTGTCTGTAGCGCTAAAAAAAACGAATGGATCTTGTATTTTGGGTCGCAGTTGTTGAAGACGGTCTAAGTACTCTCTAAAAAGTCACTATTTGAAGTGTTGGTAATGTTTTCTATAAATTATTTGAATTTATAATAGTTTTACTCAGATCAAATCTAGAATTGTATTGTTTTGAACCATAGTAGTAGACGTGAGAATTGACGAAGCATGTGATCATCGTCAAGGAGGAGGACAGAATTAGGATTAGCCTAACGAGTAGGATATTTGACCTGGCTTTGACCTGACCAATCCAACGCCAGCCATCTTCTCCGTTGCCCCTCTTCCCCATCCATCCGTCCATTCCGGATTTTCCAGTTCACGCACGCCGGCGAAAGGAAGGGAGAGAAAAAAAGGACCAAGCTTTCTTCCCTGTATCGACACCACGCCCGGGACTCACGAGCGCGACACGACGCGGTACTAGTACAAGAGGTGGGCGGCGGGTGGTTGCCCCGATCGGCCGCCTCCCATGGTCGGCCCCAAGCCCAGCAAGCCGAATCGGATGTGCAAATCCAAGAGCGCCATCGCCACCGCCACCTCCACGTCCTCCTCCGCCATGGCGGCCGCGGCGGCGGCGGCATCCACGCCGCGGCACCACCGCTCGCCGCGCACGATGGCGACCTCCTTCCCGGCGGTGTCATCCTACTCCACCTCCTCCTCCACCACGGCGTCCTCCTCCGCGGCGTCCCTCGCCGCGCTCCGCGACTCTCTCCCGGAGCTGCCGCTCCTCTTGACCTTCCACGACCTGGCCGCCGCCACCGCCAACTTCTCCGCCGCGCACCGCCTCGTCCCCGCCGCGCCCTCCTCGTCCAACTCCTTCCGCTGCGCGCTCCGCGGCCACCCAGCCGCCGTCTTCCGCCGCCCGCTCCGCCGCGACGCGCGGGACGTGGCCGCGCGCCTCGCCGTGCTGGGCCACTGCCACCACGCCGCCATCGCGCGCCTCCTCGGCGCCGCCGCGTCCCCCGACCGCACCACGCTGTTCCTCGCCTACGAGCTCGTCCCCGACGCGTCCCCGCTGTCCGTGCTGCTCCGGAACCCCAAGAACCCGTCCTTCACCCCGCTCGCGTCCTGGCACTCGCGCCTCCAGCTCGCCGCCGACGTCTGCGACGCGCTCTACTACGTCCACCTCCAGGCCGACACCATCCACAACCGCCTCTCCGCGTCATCCGTCCTCGTCTGCGGCGACGGGCCCCTCCCCCGCGCCAAGATCACGCATTTCGGCGCGGCCGACCTCGCCGGCGAGCTCCCGATCGAGCACAAGGACGACGACGGAGAGTCCAAGGCCTCCTCTTCATCCTCCTCGGGCGGCCACCGCCGCACCAGCAGCCGGGGGAGGCGGATCGAGGGCACGCGCGGGTACATGGCGCCGGAGCTCGTGGCGGGCGGGCCTCCGTCGCGGCGCTCCGACGTGTTCGCGCTCGGCGTCGTGCTGTTGGAGCTGGTGTCCGGGCAGGAGCCGGTGCGGTACGAGCTGGTGAACCGGGGCACGGGCGAGTACGAGAGGACGTCGCTGATCGACACAGCGGCGGCCGCCGTCGCGGAGGGCGGCGGGGAGGGGATGCGGCAGTGGGTGGACCGCAGGCTCAGGGACTCGTTCCCCATCGACGCGGCGGAGTCGCTCACCACGCTGGCGCTGCGCTGCGTCGCCAAGGACCCCCTGGCGCGGCCGGACATGGCGTGGGTGGCCGCACAGGTGTCCAAGATCTTCCTGGAGGCGCAGGAGTGGGCCGCCAAGTTCAATGTCCCCACCGACATCTCCATCTCCATCGCCCCCAGGTGATGGATCGTTCCCGGTGCCGTCACGCCATTGCCGGTGACGGCCAAAGCGACTTGGCGATTGCTGTAGAGTTGAGGATTTGAGATGCTGATAGATAGCAGTATAGAGCTGTCGCTACTACCACTGAGGACATAGATTGCCTTGGACTCAATTGATTCATTGTTAATTTGGGAGGAGTTTAGGCTTTACATAGATAGATTAAACTTCGTTTTTCCCCTCTTGTTCTTATCGATGATGTACAAAGGAGTGACATGTTATATGTGGTACTAGTAGTACACAGCTTTGGTTGGTAAATGTCAGATGCAATTTGGTCAGGCTGTGATTAGGCCGATGTACACTTTTTAACTGTGAATGGAAGAAATCCAGGAGTTTGTAGAAATTGGTCAATGATGCGTGTATGCATGGATAGATGGCCTGGGCATCTCTTGGGTGGATCCTGCTCCTGCCGACTCTTGGCACAAAATTGCCACGGCTTGTTATTTCTTGCTGTTGATGTGCATGTGTCTGAATTTTGATGGGCAATTCAACGAGGAGAAAACTGCATCCCTATTTTCTTCAGGCAGCGTCAGCGTCCATGGAATCAGGTCGCCTAGTGCGGCATGTGCTGATGTGCATGTCGTAGACGCCACGCACGACGGCCAAGGAATCGGATGCTGCTGCCGTTGCCTGTGTGAGACTCAGATTTCTCTTCGAGCTCATCCATTCACTGGAGTGTACATCACACATGTCGCAACGACATGTGCCCTTTTCGCTTGGCTGATAAGCCATGGTTGAAAATACTGTTAGTTGATTTGTTGTGAGAGAAAAATATTGTTCGTTGGTTGAAAAAGTACGGCTTATAAGCCAAACGAACAGGACGATGGCTGCGACCATATTTATTGGCACAAGATGAGACGAGATAAGCAGCCTGATCGCTGGGGCTGGGCTGGCTAGCCAGCCCCCTCACATGGCTACTGTTTACGCGAACCAGCCAGCAGTACTTCTCTCTCATATAAACGAACCAGCAACGATACGAATCAGCCAACCGAACAGGCCGAAGAACCTGATCCCTGATGCATGAGAGAGACAGAACATGGCCATCGAATTCTACTATACTAGCTAGACTGAAGTCTTTCTTTGAAGTTGAAGGAATGCAGGACATGACACAACACAGCCATGCTTTGTGATGTCATAGCAGCACAAACCATTGCTACGTGATGGATTGATTCACCTTTCTGGCCCTGTTTGCTTGTCTTTAGCTTGTTTTTTCGGCGAAGTGAACGCGGCCTCCGGCAAGCTTACTTGCTGAATATATAGTTTTTAAGAACAAGACAACAAAAAACCCTCTGGAAACGCCACGTTGCATCGTGGATGACCTTGCATATTCCTGCCAGACACTCGAGCCAAAATCATGGAGAACCCAATTCAGACAGCTCAACGACCAAAAGAGGGCAAAAGGAGAACAATAATCAATAATTTCTAACGATCAGATTCAGAAATCCGAAGGAGATGGTGCTGGCTGTTGTGCCCACCGGATGGAAACTCGGCTCAAATGATCTGGCTATTTTTATTGGCGCATGCCTGGCTGAATCTTTCGAATTTTAGGACCCAAAGGAAAGGGGGCAGTACTCATTCACATCCTCTCATATCATAGGAGATCCGCACAGTAAAAACCAATAATAATACATTACAAGAGTGTTAATCCAACATGGAAGATGCATAGTTCTACATCTGCTTTGCCCTTTGCAGGCCCATGAGGTTTCCGCGAAAATGCATATGCCTGTTAGTTGCAGCTGCTGTAAGATGTACCCCTGTCGATCGCAGCGCGCTCACCATCAGGCCATTGTCACCATCCTCTCAATGACTGTAAACAAAGAGTCAAAAGATGAAATGAGTTCCATTTAGATGCTGGTGTCAACTAGTGTCATACATAGGTTGATAGGTATATCACAAAGTCACTCAATAGTCCAGATGATTTTGAATCATTTTTCCTAAGTGCCTGATAAAATTTAAAATCCAGGTTACCCATTCCAATTAAGTATGATACCGTGTTAAACTGTTAATGTAGCAGAGGGCTAGAGCTAGGTGAGTTCCCCATTTCTGTTTGAAAACCTTTTGTTTATGGACAGTTCATCCAACTATTCGAGGATGTATATATAGCTAATTCCGTACATCCTCACATCTCATAGAGTTAGCAAATAAATAGTCCAGAGATTTTTGAATTGTTTTTCCTAAGTGCCTGATAAAATTTAAAATCCAGGTTAGCCATCCCAATTAAGTATGATGCTGTGTAATGTAGCAGAGGGCCAGAACTAGGTAAGTTCCTCATTTCTGTTTGAAAACCTTTTGTTTATGGGCAGTTCATCCAACTATTCAAGGATGTCTAGCTAATTCCTTACATCCTCATATCTCATATAGAGTTAGCAAATAAGCCCTCTACTTCAACCATCTGTCATATTCTTGTTGTGCCATACTCAGTGGGGAACAGAACAAGATAGGTCAACTTGAAATACGGGTTCAACTGTTAGTATGCGTTGATTGTAGGAAAGGTCACTGTCAAAACCAACTATGCACTCAGTGACAATGACATGCACTTCAGCAGCATGAACCTAGAAAATAAATATGGTGGGAGAAAGAGAAATTGAAGCCTGCCCAAATATATTCCAAAGCAATATAATCTGCCATGCAACTCGGCACATATTTTCGCATGTCACAGAATACAATACAATGTGAAAGATCAACTTCATATTCCTATGCCAAGCGTATAAAGGAATTTGCAGCCATTTGCTGATATAATAGGTGACTGCAAGAGATAGGCTTAACAAAAAAAAGGGCAGACCCAGTGCCGGAGGCTCCCACATGAGTGGGGTCTAGGGAAGGGAAAAACCGAGGCAAGCCTTCCCCCCGCAAAATCTGCGGAGAGGCTGCTTCGAACCCGCGACCTGGTGACTCAGTGAGACAGCTCTCACCACTACACCAGGCCTGCCCTTCAAGAGATAGGCTTAACAAATGCCTATAAATCACCATGACATCCAGTCGAGTCAACTTGGAAGTACTATTAAGAATTCAAGTTCTAGTACGAGAACTTTCTCACATTCACACCAAAAACTGAGTTTTGCAGACAAAATATTAGTAATGACGCAATTGTGTATAACAAAAGAAAGAAGACCTGTCAGGTGCAGGTGTTCTGGTGAAAGGTTTGGCACCCAGACTGAGAAATTCTTTTGAATAATCATGCATTCAGATATTAAATGGCTACATCATTTTGAAGAAAACAGTAACACTAGCATGCCACACTATCAAGTTATAATGCTTTTGAAAATTAAGAACACTACTCATATCCAGAGGGTAGGGACCAAACAATTTTGTAGGGCAACATATTGTGCTTATTTGACAGATATAAACTGCTTCCATGTTAATCATGCATACCTTGAAGCCAGATTTGTTATTAGTTGAACCACCTAGCATCTTCCTTGCAGGCTTCAGTATTTGGAAGGAGCACATCAATGTCTCATCTACACTCATCATGGCACCAGCGTTATCGAATTCTCCACAGTAGTTAGGGGCTGAGAATATTGTTACGAGTTGGCGGTTAGCGAAAAACTCATATCCATCTTCGACAACCTGCATTCCAACAATGTAAAAGCATAAGTAAACGATTGATACACTTATAGTTTATAAGGGAATATGTAGGTCACGTCTTTAAGAACACAGCAACCTGATGAGCTCGGCAGATAAGGTCCAAATCATGCTTCTCAAGGAATTCATTAACTTTATCAGGACCAAATGTGAATGAAACACCTCGATCATTCATGGCCCAGCCTGTTGCTTCATTGGAAGGATCAGACCAAAGAAGATCACAGAGCAATCCAGTATCAGGTACGTCTGTGGGGCGATTCAGGTTGAGTATTTGCTCAAGCTTGTTCAACTCTGGAGATAGGCCGCCATGCATACAGAGAATCTTTTCATCGATCAATGCTGACACTGGCAAGCAGTTAAAACAGTCTGTGAATGTTTTCCAGAGCTTTACACTGAATCTGCGTTTGCACTCGTCATAAAAACCATATATGCGATTTACTGATGCGCATTCATGGTTGCCCCTTAGAAGAAAGAAGTTCTCTGGGTACTTGACCTTGTAGGCCAAAAGAAGACATATTGTTTCCAGGCTTTGCTTTCCACGATCCACATAATCACCCAAGAAAAGGTAGTTGGCCTGAGGCGGATAGCCACCATAATCAAATAGCCTCAGGAGATCAGAGTACTGCCCATGGACATCACCTGATCAGAAGAAAATATGTGAGATCGATATTTGTCAGGAAGCTCCACTAAAGGCATTTAAGGGTAACTCATACTCAGATTAACCAAAATCGCTACATATATCAGTACAGGTACTCAAATAGTGTTGAGATTCTCTTTATCTGACAATTTATTAACTGAAGGATTTACTTTTACCTAACATGAAAGGAAGTATTATCATTGTTTGTATGACCTAAAGATCTGCACAACAGCGGAGCCAGAGTTCGTCACATACAATTTATGCCACAGCATGAAAACCTATAAGTGGGATAAAGTAGATGTGCTTTCTCAGAAATATAACACTGTCAAGGGTTATAAAAAACTCGACCTGCACGACTGCACCCATACACAGCAGCACCGTAGCCCATGTGAGAACCACCACGACAGGGGCCAGACCTTAGACCTGTGCTTTGGCATGGGAGAGACGAGGAGATTTTTTAACCCCAGCCTAAAAATTCGCTCCCATGAGGAGTCGAACCCAAGCTGAGGTGTGCTACTCAAGGTACCTAACCAACTCAGATAGAGGCCTTTGCGTGCATTTTTGTCAGCAGTACATACGAACTAAACATTCAAGACTTCCATCTAAGACAGTGATGATGATCATCCAATTTACATAGTAGGCTTAGTGAACTTTCATTTAAGTATACTGCTTTCATTTCTCATAGGATGCATGGTTATACGCATCTATGTTGTTCACTTTAACATTTTCACAAAATATCCTGACCGCA